TTAGAAGTTGGAAAAGCAGATATGGCAACATGAGGCGAAACAAACTTAGAAAGGACAGAATTTGTTTTAACTGCCATAAACATGGGCACATCGCTAAAGACTGTTGGAGTAGGGCAGAACAGTCTGAACAGAAGATTGCGAGTTCGGATAGGAGGCACAGGTCTATATCCGATGACTGTGGTAGCGGTAATCGCAAGGTATACCAAGGTAGAAGGCCGCAAGCGGGCTATAGTGGTGTAAGAAGAGATGTTAACTCCAGTTGGAGAGAATAAATGTATGGGTCGTGTAGATAGCCTGTGAAACATAACACTATACAACCGTAGTGTGTAAATAAGTTGATTGGTTTGATATTTGAAGTGTTTATTCTTAATTAATTGACTTACCTAGTAGTCATAGCTAGGCAGTTATCATGTTGTTGTAGTATTAGTTAGTATTAGATTGACTCACGTTAGTTATTTATTATGTATGAATATTAATATGTATGAATTGTATGTATGGAGGTATGAATAGATAGGGCATTTATAAGGCGACGAGGTATTGATACCAAGGGAAAGTAAGTTTTATAAGTTATTCCTTGTTGTTGATCATGATCATACATCAGTAAAGAGTTAGGTCGCGCTGGGACAAGTAAGTGGAGGGAGGAAATAAAATACACTTGTAAATGCTCGAACGAACGTTAGGTGTATAGTGGGAGAACGATTATTGATAAATGTCAATTTGTCATATTAGGTAAAATGTCTGTCCTGACGTGTGAGGGAAAGTGATGGAACCTCTGGAATGTGATGTGATAAAGTATGGATATACGGACTATGTCGGCGGTCACCTATGGCACATCACATTGGACAGTATCACTTTGTGACATTTGAGGGAAATAGGTGTTCAGATCAACTTGAGTTTGGGACAATGATGAAGAAGTTGAAACCGAAATCAAGACTCAAGTTGTGTTGTCTTTTATGTTTCCCTACATTTTGGCCCTTGCACAATGTAAGACTAAGACAGTAGATAAAAAATTGACTGGCAATTTTTTTTAGCGGGAGGGGGAGGAGTTGTTATGACATGATTAGGAATTAGTTATTTGTTTCGGGAATAAGGGTAAAGTTTTACTTAGCGACAAATGACGTGACAGATCTTTAAAAAACAAGAACGCTCTTAGTGACGCTAGAAAGAGGATGCTTTGTGTAGAGCAGTAGAATTTAGATACGGATTAACGGACATAGCTGACATAGGACGATTCCCTTCTTAGTTATTAAATGGATTTGTAAACAGCATCAGCGTCCACTACATATTTTGTTTGTTTCGGCTTTTCGCCGGTGTTACTGAAGTAGTTTTAGTTCGGCATTACCTCCAGTCAGACGTAGATCTACACTAGATCCATCTACAAGCATCAACACCGCGCGGAAGCCTGAACAGCTGCTATTATTGGTTACTCTAGTGGTACATTTGTTATCGCATTACTATTGCTCTATTATTAAATTGGTGTTTTGATATATCCCTTTCGTTGAGGTTCTTTGGGCTCACTGTTGGTTGAGTTACAGCAATTGGTGTCAGAAGTGGGATTCTCAACGAAAGTGGGAAGAACGAAGAAGGCCTATGTACACGACCGTGACGACATTGAACGTTTCTTTTTCGGATAACCCAACATAAGTTTTGGTAGGCCAACGTAAGAAAGATACTGGATGGCGTCAACGAAAACACTTGGTCAGCTTTCCTTGCAAGAACTTAAACGAGGACTCGGGGTAGAGAGCTGAAGGTAAGCGGCAACAGAGGCACTCATGGAGCGTCTGAAGCAAAGCATCATAAATGATGAATAGGATCCGGACACCTATTTTTTCGAAATAGAACCGGATATGAGGGAGCTTTGGAAATCGATGCCAGAGCAAATGAAGGAAGATCTGAAATCAGTGAAGGATGAACTTAAAAACGTATTAGGTAATAAATTGAGCTCTATAGAATCTGCATGTATGGATTGAAATAGAATATCGACGATTCCAAAAAACAATTAAAAAATGAGGTAACTGTGTTAAGGTCCCAGATGATAGGGATGTTGATTCTAAAATTTAACGATTCCGAAATGAAATGAAGAACAATGCAACGACAAAAACACCCGTCTGCAGATCGAAAACAAACTTATTTACATGTCAGGCACCCTCAAACCTGACGGGATCAACAACCAGCACACTTTTATTTAATATGCGACGGGCACTAACACTACCCCTTTTCCCATTCATCTTTGCATGACATCTCCGCCCCCTTCCGATTTCCAGCACTTTAACATCAGCGTAGCTCATTTTTTTCTGCCTCGATAGAGAACAACATGGGACAGTTAAATTTTAACTTAAGACTATTTTGTGTAGTTTGTCATTTTTGTTTTGTTTTGTAGCGGATGAAGGCCTCGTGGCCCAAACACACTAAAATTGAGTTTAAAATAAATGAGAGAGAATATGTGTTTATATCAAAATGAAGGCCTATGGTGCCAGGGTTATTCCAACGTTATTTTTACAAAGCTTATATCAACTCACTCTGGCTGTCTGGAACAAATTTTGAAAACCTTATTCTTGGATCTAGTTGAAACTTTTCACAATTATTCCTAACAAAAAACATGGTAATTAATTAATTTTGTTTGAGATCGAAAACGAAAATAAATTTGAAGCAAGGTGGTGACTGAACGTCGTATAAGATTCACGTAAGAGTAAAGTTTCCCTTTTAGATCTTGCGATCTATAGGGCAGATATTGTTAAGGTCACCCATTTCTTTGGCCAACAGTTAACGAGCAAAGGTGTCATGTGGCCAGCACAACGCTCGACCGCCTTTACTTTCCCAAACTGAAGTCAGGTACCCATTAGATTTTGGGTTCACCCAGGGCGCCCTAAAAATCATGAAATTCAAAATCCTAGTCTTCACTGAATTTCGAACCCAGTACCACACCAGGTTCGGAAGCCAAGCGCTTAACCACTTAGCCACCGGGTTTATAGGATATCCTTAGACCAATCGGAGCACGTTTATAAAAGATAACTTTAACATAGAAGCCGAAAAGAGAAAACACGTTTAATATGGTGTCGCATTTTCTTTGTAGACCTAAAACCCGTAGACACTAGATAGAAAGATGCTGAAGTCGCCTGTAACCGACCTGTGTGGAGAGCGCTTGCTACGCTATTCCCACTGTGCTAAACGTCACAGGAGTGTCTTAGTAAGGAAGTAAGAAAATAAAATAGTTCAAAGTGTTTGCATAACTGTGATATTATCTGGGGAACATCTTCATTGCCCAGCTTTGCTAAGTTTTCAACACATGCGCCAAATGGGGCACCTGTTCCCTATGGGAATGATTATATTTCGAATGCAATCTTTTTTTTTTTTTTTTCCATTAGCTAAAAGAAATGGTTCAAAGAGATGCGCACTGGAAACGCTGTAAAACCTACCCAGGAGTCAATTTACTTTTGCTGTCACAGAAGGAATTGTATGAATTCAAGAAAAATGCTCATCGCTGATTTGCTTCATTTTGTCCTGTTAGTGTGTTGGATAAATTTATACGCATTTCCGAATGCACATCTCTCAAAATACAATAGTAATGATCATCATACAAAATTACGTAAACATTGAAAAAGACTCACCATCAATGGCTTTTGTATTTTGAGTCGCTTTATGCTACATGTTATGGTCTTTATAACCTTATGTTGAAATACATGAAAATTTTCTGGGGTTTCGCCCAATTACCGAGACAACTTGAGAAGGACTTTGCGACATCGTGGAAAAAAAAGTTGAAATTGGACATAAAATATCTAAGAGGGCATACTGAATACGACAATGGTGCCATATAAAAGGAATGATCTACAAAAATGGATTTAAATCAAAGGACGCTTTTGGTACAGTTGTACAGCTCAGTCTCAATTTTTTTTTTCTAGAATAAAAAAAGGTGGGGGAGGCATTTTAAAATTCTGCACGCAGGCAGCCACAACCCTCGCGGCGGCCCTGATTGCACATATGTATGCAAGTTGTTGCCTACATTACATGTTGAGTGATACTGTATGGACTATATAGTTATACCTATTTTATTCTGTTGTTATGAAATATTTTGTTATGTCCAGACTGTCACATCACCTTAGGAGTCCATTGGAGTTTTTCGCGATGAACTTAACACTGTCAAGGACGCTAAGTTAAAGTTTATTGTTGCCAACTAAAAAACAATAAATTAAGCTCTAATTTTTACACTATCTCAATATATAGCTAGCAGTTGATCTTGGTAGTAAATCTTCTATAGTATCACTAATTGGTTGCCCATTTGTTTTTAAATAGAATGAAAGTCTAATGCTAACTCCATATTGACATTATTTGTGCTACAATCGGAAGAGATAAATGCAGTACAAATGCTCCTTCTTCCCTAGTGCTATTAGAGCATGGAATGGGTTGCCTGAGCTAGCCAGGAAAACCAGTGACTTGGCAGAATTTAAGTCATTGGTTAATGACGCGTAGGAAGTAATTATCATCTTTTTAAGTAGTCTGTATCATTTAAGACGATAAGATAAGACAATGTCATATCCTTTAAAAAAAAAGACTAGCTTATCAACACTTTATTCTGTACACCGGATACACCAAAAATTTAGTTATTTATTGTTTTTCCCACCACGTATGATAATCTCCAATATTGTTGGTAAAGGTTCTGCACAGATCTCTTTGTCTGGCAATCTCTCCTTGTCTTATACAGAAGCTCTCTTCCCTTCTAATCTCTGATAACTCTTTTCTGATCGAAATCAATCACATCTTATCAATACTGCACGGTGGTGGTGTTTTTTGTTAGTTTGTTTAAATATGATGAACAAATCATTTCTTTTTTGGTCAACCTAATTTGAAAATAGTCTTCCAACTGCACAAACAAGTTGTATTACTTTACTCTCAAACAAAAATCATTTTTAAAAATACTTTTTTTTTTAAAGTTCTAAAAATCTAGGTCAGTACTCACAGTTGAGAAAAGTGTACAAGAAACGAATTAATGTATTGAAAAGACAATAACAAATGAATATATTCGTTTAATTTCTGTTTCTGAGAGTTAGAAAAGTAAAACATGAACTCAATACACTTGGGAGATGGATGCACACGAAACAAAAGATTATGATAATATAGATTCCAAAATACCAAAGATAACATGTTTAAAGAAAATGTACAAACTAAATCTTAAGTATTTTGGACGGAGAGAGAGAGAGAAACATATGAGAAGATTGGAGAGATATCAACCAAGAGGTGAGTTACAACCTATACAAGAGAGTTGCAGACTGAGCATTAGAAATTTAATGGTAGCAGTGTCACAGCCTAGACATGTTACAACCTAAGACATGTTACAGCCAAGACATGTTACAATCTAAGACATATTACAGCCTAAAACATGTCACAACCTAAGATCTGCTACAGCCTAAAACATGTCACAACCTAAGACATGTTACAGCCTGGAGGCACTATCATTTTGGTCTTTGCTTAGAGCTAGTCTCACCAGGAACTAAATAATTTTTCTATTAGCCCATCATTAACTATTGAAAATAAAAACCAAGATGATCTCATGCTCAAATCTGGATAGAGGCTCTTGGGATTGTTACTCCTGAGATTGAACTCTAGCACCAGTTTTGTTCTACCAATATGTCCATGCAAAGACATTGGACAAATACGCACGTTATTGTAGCTCAGAAACACACTAGACAATGTTCGATTATAATAAATAATAATGATAAGAGTTCCATATGGCTGATCATAATAATGTACAATGTTGAATCAAAGAACTAAAAATATCAATAATCACCCCTTAAAACGAAAACTTATAATTGTAGCTTTTATATAGCGCTACTTTCATGCTTTTAGCATGCTCAGAGCACAATGGTCCAATCTCATTTGTGGACAAGTGGGGGAAAAGGGATATCTGGGAGAAGGTTTTCCATGCTGCCTTTAGGCGCTCAGTAAACACAACTCTGCTCGAGTCGGGTGTCAAACCTCAAGCCCCCTTCATAGGTAGCCTAGTTCAAGCGTACTTAGCCTCTCGACCACACTTCCCACACTTAAGACTGTTTCCTGGTTGTTCAGCATGCCTAGGCTACTCATCTCTGGACAGACTTAATTTGTTTAACATGTCTAGGCTACTCATCTCTGGACAGACTTAGTTTGCTGAACATGCCTATGCTACTCCTGTCAGAACAGACTTTGTCCAGCATGCCAACTCCTGACTTGAAACAACACAAATGAAAATAGGAATAACTATATTGGTATGGCACTTCATGTTGGAATTCACTGGGAGAGAACAAGCTTGGAAATCTTAGGGGGACAACCTTAGGAAAATGAAAGGGGAAACAAGCCTAAATCTAAAAACGAAGTCCTAAATCTAAGAATGAAGTCTAATAACAAATGCAATAGGTCTTTAAAGGCAGTTCATAATGTTACAAAATCAGAATGCAAGAAAAATACTTCACTAACTACACATATAAATGAACAAAATGATAAAAATATCATTAGTTAATGCCACCTGTAAATAAAAATGCAATAATTTTATAAGGAAAACTTTTGTTTACATTAATTCTTAACATTGCATCTTTTTTGTCTTCTAACCAATAATAGATAATGTCGACAGAAGTAAAACCAAAGAAGAAATGAAAGGAGGTGTTTAAAAAAATGTTGGTGAGATTTCAAAAGCTACTCAAGTGCTGCGTGGTTGAAAAACAGTTATTTGAAGTATAATGATGAAAAATATAAATAAATGCGTATAAGTAATAGTGGTGTTTGTTCACTGTGTAAATTAATGAAGCATGATAAATCTCAATAATTAGACAGAGCTTAATGTATAATAATATAATGATAATTCAAATCAATCTGCTCATGAAAGTTAAATAACAGATATGGAATGTACCTGGCATATATGGCACATTTATTTTACTGTACACTTAAACTTAAACTCAAACCTCATAAAACTTGATGTAATTTTCCTTCCTTCTTTGGGTGTTGGCCAAAAGATAATCTTCCTATTTTAATATGTTTTAATTAACACTAGCCTTGTATATTAAAAGAAATTATAGCCATGTTTTAGTATATCAATCTGGCATGCTGCCATTATATTAACCTCTAGCTATGTAGTATCACATTAAACTCAGTACATATGTGACAGAGTCAATTTAATCTTTTCTATGTCTTGGGTCTGCCTTTTATTACATGAAAATAATTTGAAACCACCATACTTCGAAGACTTCAATACTATACCCTCTAACTCTACCAAGCTCCTGGATAGCATGATCGTTTTCTAGGTTACTATAAACCCAGGCACTGCCAAATTCTGATAAAACACTCTACAAATTTATTCATGTCATAAGGTTTGACGCAGCCTTTAATAATAAAATGCAAATTTAAAAAATCTGGGTGTACCTTCATGTTAAGTAGAAAAATATAAACAACTGGTTAATATGATACTATAATGATATGAAAAGTAATTTAATTTTACAATATATATGGCATGACATGTAGCCCTCCCCCAAAAAGATTTTTTTTCTTTTCAATGCTGCGTACAAATAATGAAAACCTCAAACCAGCAAACACACACAAAATATCTTAAAAAACAAAATGATTTGGCTTTCTTGAAAAAAAAAAAGAAATGTAAAGCAGAGATAAACATAATGCTAATAATAAATAATGCAGGAAATATCCACATAAGTCAAAATGTGGTTAACAGTAACAAAAAATGGCGCATGAATACAAATTAACAATAATAACAATATATATGTTCTATATTAATATCTATAAATTAAACCATTATAACAGATTAAAAGTAATTAATAAATTAGATTATGTCGTTAATATATTTAATGGTGTGTGTGTCTTAAGTATCTTGAAATGTTCTTATAAGTTAAAGAAGTTTATAATGTAAGGGAGGTTGTTATTCATCCACCAAGAGCACAAGGCAATAGTAATATCTGGGTTCAAGCCCTTGGCCAATGTGCTGTTAATAAAAGTGTTATTTTGCTTGTGTACAGCTTCAAATGTCATTCACCTTATTACAGTTTATCTTTGTCCTTTTAAATAGTCTAGCTCTTTAATGACAGTCTGGTCTAGTCTCTTGCCCACCATAACTTTAAAAATGGGAGGAATGAAAACTTGACTTATGACTTTTGTAACTATACATAGTTAGTTACTGTATACAGCCCAGATAAAAATCACAGTGCACCTATACCAGAAAATCCACTACAGTTAGATAACAGAAAAAAAAAGGTGTTATATCCAATAAGGAATAACTGATCTGCTAATATAAACATGTGTATATTTATTTATTATTATAAGTCCAATCACAGAAATTGTAAAAATAATGAAAGAGTAGACATTGATTTAATTGCATTCAATAACTATTGCAATAAAATGCCATGTTAACAGCCAATTTCTAATGCAGCAAAGTGCATTATGAAGTTACCAGAAGTTTTCTAAACTTTTGTATAAGAGCTCGATCTGTTACTGTAGTTACATAGCCTAAACTCATTTTTTTGGGGTAGTAAAAACCAGATGTTCATAATGCTTTTCATTTCTAAAAATATCTCAAATAGAAGTGACTACACTACAGAGCATAAAGCCAACCATAGCAATGAAATGCCTGAAACTGCAGTGCATAGAGTAAACCATAGAAAGAAGAATGTTGATATTGCTTTTTTTCTGTTCTTAAGTTATTACCGCTTGCACTTACTAAATTAAAGTTAATTATACTATATTTTAATGGCCTTGTACTTGTATTATATTATTCTTTAGATGGCACAGGAGCTAAATGTGACTTTTTATAAACCGGATATAGGAAGGAATAGCTTAAAGAATTCATGTTTTCTTTTGCAAAGAAAGATAATCCAGAAAATGCTTCTACTTATCAAATAAAATACAGACATTACTTCCAAAAAAAAATGATTAATCCCTATGTGTGTTCCTAAGTTAATCTAGTCATGCCTGTTAACCAATGACTTAAATTCTGCCAAGTCACTGGTTTTCCTGGCTGGCTCAGGCAACCCATTCCATGCTCTAATAGCACTAGGAAAGATGGAGCACTTGTACCAATTTGTCCTAGCATATGGAACGAGGAATGAATGTAAGCATGACTGAATAAGGCAATATTGTTAAAGAAAGAAAATGTTTCGTTTGTACACCTCACTTAGACCAAATGATTCCTACTATTTCATATTTAAAATTTCTGTGTTAGCATATAATATTAGTATATTATTAGGAAAACTTACATATATCCTTTAGTGAAAAAAATTACTTGTTAAAAATTACTAACAAAAATTAGTAAGTAATGTAGAGTAATACAAGCATGAGAGAAAGCCTGGAGAAAGATAAGAGATAAGAGATGAGAGCGAGAGAAGAACCAAATTATTTGATGGTCAAGTAAGTAATCATTTTGATTGGGCCATTTCTTTTATAGGAGCTAATTGCTAAATAAATAATAGTGTTTATCATATTGCCATACACCAGAATCAATAAAACAGCTGTAGACGGTGGGTAAATGCTTGTAGGGCAATGTAGTATAAAAGAAACTAAAAAAAAAAATAAATAAAAAACAATGACAAAATCTATTGCAAATGAGATTTCTGATAAGGAGGATTTCAGATCATTAAAAAAACTACTAATATTCCACAGGTGCTACCCCGAAATGCCTAAGTAGTTGGCTAATTTAAATGTGTTTACATCAATGACTTCTTTTTTTAAATAGGACATCTAATTTACTGTGACCTTTAGAATGGTAATTACATACAAAAATTTCTTCCAAAAATCTCTGAAGTAAATTCTAGGCACTATCAAATAAACAAAGCCACTGACCGGAGACTAAAGACTATATGGACAATGAGTAATTACAAATGATAAGAAAAATAACAAAACAGTCAAATTATTAACTCTTTCTCTCCGTAATTATTTTCTATGATCTGATGAAATTATTCTTTTGTTCATGTATAGTTCACTTCCCTGTTATTATTGAACTTTTAAAACTTTATCAGAAAACATTTTATTTGGTATAGAATTGAAGGGCAACACATGCTCTTTTTATATAAACACTGTTTATAAAAAAAACAAAATTAATTAAATGGGGTCAAATCAACGATGGTATCATCAAATAGGAGAGAAAGAGTTAAGATTGCAGAGTAAGATAGGTAACCATTGATATACACTGAGATACACATGTTTAGGACAGGATTTCTTTTTCATTTAGAACAGAACTTTTTCCATTTAGTACAGGACATGTTCATTGAGGACCAAATAAGTTTATTTAGTACAGGACATGGTTCATTTAGTGCAGGACATATTCCCTTAGTACAGGACTTGGATCATTTAGTGCAGGACATTTTCACTTAGAACAAAACATGGATCATTTAGTGCAGGAAATTTTCACTTAGTACAGG